TGTGGGCACTGCCATCTTTGAGGGTGGGACAGTCAATTAGCATATTCCCTCCTTATTGGCTGTGGGTGCCGCCATCTTTGAGGGCAGGGCAGTCTATTAGCATATTCCCTCCTTATTGGCTGTGGCACCACCATCTTTGTGAACGGCATAAGGGTCAATTAGCATATTCCCTCTTTATTAGATAGGATAGTCACTATGATGTATATTAGGACCCCAGAAGTTATTTACCTTACAACTGAAAGGTTGCACCCTTTGACCAACATCTCCCCATTTTCCCCACACCTAAACCCTGGCAACCCCATTCTACTCAATCGTTCTGAGTTTTACTTTTTGCCTTTAGGAATATTTGGTTGTTATTTTTCCATCATAGAGTACTCTATTATATTTATGCCTACTATACACCTTAAAATCAACTTAATAGAATTCTTACCATTTGCAACAGCATGGATGGAACTGGAGAGCATTATGCTAAGCGAAATAAGCCAGTCAGAGAAAGATAAATTTCACATGATCTCTCATTTGTGAAATATAATGAACAACATAAACTAATGAACAAAAATAGAACCAGAGTCATAGAAGCATCAAATAGACTGTCCAACCTATGAGGGAAGGTGTGGGGTGAGGGGGTAAGAGATCAACCAAAGGGCTTGTATGCATGCATATGAGCATAACCAATGGACACAGATGGGCGGGGGGTGAGGGGGAAAGGGCATATGCTGGGGGGTGGGAGCGGTTGGTAAGAGGTCAATGGGAGAAAAAGGAGACTTATGTAATACTTTAAACAATAAAGAATTTAAATTTAAAAAATAAATGAAATGAAATGAAATGAAAAAAACAACTTTAATAAGCACATGTGACTGTATAAAAAAAATCATGATTACTTTATAACTTAATATGGTCTATTAAAATACAACATCTTTACCCAAAATATTTTTCCTGGAAAACTCAGAGAGAAATACTCTGAGAAAAGAACATGAATGTGCCTGGCTAAAGATTTGGAAAGCGCAGAATATCATATCCTCCTAAAATTCAAAACATACAATACCATATTAAAAATAAATCCTCTAGCAGTGACCCTTTTGGTTGTGATAGTGGTTATTCAAATCTACATGTCTTGGTCAATTCGCGCTGCTCTAATAATCTACTATAGATTAGGCAGCTTAGAGACAACAGATTTTTTTCACAGTTCTGGAGACTGGGAGGTCCAGGATCAAGGTGCCAGCAGAGGTCTAGTAAAGGCCTGCTTCCTGGTTCCGAGGTGGCATTTTTCCTCTGTAACCCCAAATGGGGAAAGAAGGTAAGGGAGTTCTCTTGAGCCTCCTTGATAAGGGGACTAATCCCATTCATAAGGCTATGCCCTTATGATCTAATCACCTCCCAAAGATCCCCCACCTTAGGAGTTAGGTTTCAACATAAGTATTTTATCAGGACACATTCAGACCATAGCACTTAGAACATATCCTAGAATTATACACAAAGACATAAGAAAATGAATGCATGTAAGAAAAAAATCATGAAAATGGAGTAAGATCTGTAGTCTAGTTAATTGCATGGTGCCAATCAATGACCTGGCTTCCACAGTGCACTATAGTTTTTTAAGATATCACCATTGAGGGAGCTGAATGAAGGGCATATAGAACCTCTGTGTAGCATTTTACAACTTGTTTTAGTTTATAATTATTGCAAAATAAAACGTTTTTTAAATCAAATCCTAAGGTCTACACCAATTATTTTTTATATGAATTCCTTTGGATTTTTCTAAATTCCTCTAGATTACAAAAATATAGGCATTGTAGAGGAGTAATTAAATAGAGTATTGTAGAGGAATAATTAGTTAATATAGTGTTGTTACTTTTCACATTGACAGATTACTCAAGGTCCATAACTATATGCTGTTCTTCACAAGGAATGGAATGAGGTAAAATGACCCAAAATGGAATTCTTCACACACACACACACACACACACACACACACACACACACTTCCTCTTTCTCCCGTCTTCCTTTCTCTCAATAAATGCCTCTCCCCCATCACCTAGTTGCTAAGGCCAGACTTTTTGACTCCTCTTTTCCTCGGTTTCTACATCTAATCTATTCTGCAGCCTTCCTGATTAATACCTCCAAACTACCTCAAGTCTACATTTCCAACATATGTAAAGGGAAATGAGAATTCAAAGGAGACTGAGACAATACATCCTGACAGATGGGAGAAAAATCAAGAGAGTCTGCAAACATAGAAAAAAAGAAAGAAAGAAGATTCAGGGATTCAGGAAAAAGATTGGTCAATAGTGTCAAGTGCTACTAGAATATGGAGAAAAGAAGGAAGGACCCTGTCCCTTGGATGCAGAGAAGAAGAGAGGTGATCCCTTTATTTAGATGATCTTTTATAGAGTAAGTCCAGACTTCAGTGGTCTGAAGAATGGATTAGAAGTAAGAAAGTGTAGATAAAAAAAATATAGCTCTAGCTGGTATGGCTCAGTGGATAGATGATGTTTCTCTGTCTCTCCTCCTCCCTTCCACTCTCTCTAAAAATCAATGGGAAAATGTCCTGAGGTGAGGATTAACAACAACAAAATAATAATAATAAAGATAATAAATGTAAAAAGTTCTATGAGCCCTCGCTGGTTTGGCTCAGTGGATAGAGCGTCGGCCTGGGGACTAAAAGGTTCCAGGTTCGATTCCGGTCAAGGCATGTGCCTGGGTTGTGGGCTCGATCCCCAGTCGGGAGCGTGCAGGAGGCAGCCAATCAATGATTATCTCTCATCATTGATGTTTCTCTCTCCCTCTCCCTTCCTCTCTGAAATCAATAAAAATATATATTTTTTAAATCCTATCAAAAAGTTTGGCTGTGAAAGAAGAGATAGACTTTAAGATTTTAAAAATTATCCTAGTAAGAAGTCATATTGCTATTCTTTCATAATATCACTCATTTTGTAATTAATTTAGTACTCTAAAAGCATATTTAGTAACTCAGAACTATGGTATTTTGTGCCACGCCAGCACGACCAAGCGTGATCCTGAGTGGGGGGGTGAAAGGATTAAGGAAAGACAGACAAGAGAATGAAAGCTGGGTCTGGGTGGGACGCTGCTCCCTGATGAGGAGACAACGACAGCACCCACAAGCCCTGTCTTTATTTTATAGCAGATGCCACGAGGCAAAGTAGGGGCGTGATCACGTTGTTTACAGCATTCTCGGGAGTTTCATCCTCACTTAACTACATGCACCCTCCACAAGGCACGTGGGGTTACGTGTTTGGACCATAGGTTCAAGCTTACAACTATAGCTGTTGGCTATAATTGTGCTGGGAGGGCCCTGCCCTCCAGCTGGGACTTGCACGTGGCAATGAGAGGAACCTGTCCTTTCATTAGTCCGAGGTTTGAACCTGGCCAAAACACCTGCGCGCCCCACAGTATTTATTACCAAAATTAGTTAAAACTAAGAAAAATCAAAACCTTCCTCCTGCAGACTTGAGCAAGGGCAGCAAGAAATTAGAGAATGCAGTAACAGAAAGCTGCATTTACTGATAACTTTATAAATTAAGATTAACTTTTTATTTAGCATTTAAAATACATGACTTAAATATCCATGGTGTTTGGGAATCAGCTAAAATTCTCCAAACCCCCATAATTAAAATTTAATAGGTCACATAATGGTTATTCTTGGAACTATTCCATATTTCTCTATCTCCTGCTTTTTTCCCCTTCCACCCTACCCTCCCTTCCACTATCTCTAGTCCTGTATTTTCTTTTTTATTTATTCATGTGGAAAAGTTCTTAATTGCAGGTACTTCAAATTCTATTATTCGGCTAAATATTTCTGAATATCTACAGTGTTAAAAGTATTGTTTGTTACCCTAACCGGTTTGGCTCAGTAGATAGAGCATCAGCCTGCAGACTGAAGGGTCCTAGTTTCGATTCTCCCGCGGGCTGGATACGGCCCGTTTGAAATGGATAAAACTAAAAAAAAAAAAAAAAAACCCGTACCCTTTTATGTAATGATGTTTACTTTGAATTTATATTAGTTCACACAAACACTCCATCCATGCTTTTGTTCCGGCCCTCCGGTCCGGTTTAAGAACCCATTGTGGCCCTCGAGTCAAAAAGTTTGCCCACCCCTGGAGTGGGACAAACGCAGGTGACCAGGAGTCAGCAATAATGGCCTGGTACTTCAATGTCCAGACGGCTGAGCTAAACCGGAACACATGAACACCACCCCTGGAGTGGGACAAACGCAGGTGACCAGGAGTCGGCAATAATGGCCTGGTACTTCAATGTCCAGACAGCTGAGCCAAAGCGGAACACATGAACATCCAAGACAGAATTATTATGCAATCACACAAGGTTTATTTACCTATTCCTAGTGGGTCCTAGGCTCCAGCAAAGGACACCCAGCGATGCACACCGAAAGATGGACGACGAAGATGGAGACAGACAGGCGGCCGCAGTTGGTTCAGGCTCACACAGCAGAGCAGTCAATCAGGGGCTTGTCTCATGGAGCGATATGGAGTCCTCCTCTCATCAGGCAGGAGACGTCCACTGAAGAAAATCTGGTGCTTGTATAGCCAGTAGTAAACAACTGGTATCTTATCAGTGTGGGCCAGACCTGTGCCTTATGCTAGGAGCAGGGTGTTTACGCTTTAAGGGCTTAGGGCATTCACATCAAGATAGTGGGACGTTCACCACATTTTGGAAGTTACATAGTATTGGGTTCTTCACATAGAAAACATTTCACACAGTAATCATTTCACACAATAATTATTTCCACACATTAGAGGGGTTTCCTTATGACCATAGCATTATTATAACAGGCACATACCTCAGTTGCAGGCTCAATCCCTGGCCTTGGTCCAAGCACGTGCAGGAAGCAACCAATCAATGTGTCTCTCTCACACTGATGTTTCTTTCTCTGTCTCTCCCCGTCCCTCCCACTCTTTCTAAAAAACAATGGAAAACTATCCTCAGGTGAGGATTAACAAACAAAAAAAGTCCTGTTTGGTGCTATGAAAGCTAAAGCATGAGTGTGCTATCATATGCCCCTTGTAATTAATATTTGCAATATTGTCATTTATAAGAAAAAGGTATATTTGGTCAGATGACCAAAATATATTTCTCATATATGTTCAGTTTTTGTCCATGGCTCCTGGCTCACAGCTTCCAAAACCCTTGGAATTTCCCAAATGATGAGAGCGATAAAGGTGTCTTTTGTTATGTTAACGAAGTGACCTTTGGAAAGCACCTAGAGCAGTGGTTCTCAACCTTAGCTGCACATTAGAATCACCTGGGAATCCTGATTTCTGGGCCTCATCCTCCGGAAATTCTGTCTCTTTGTTACTAATATTTTGGCCCCACCCCATAACAAAGAAACAGAATTTCCGGAGGATAAGGGCCAGAAATCAGGATTTTACAAAGATTCCCAGGTGATTCTAATGTGCAGCCAAGATTAAGAACCACTGACCTAGAGTCAGGGGCTGGTTTCCAGGGGAGCCAACAACAGGATTAGAGGGTTGGAAGTTATAGCCCACTAGGAGGAGGGGCTGGAGATTGTGTTCAGTCACCAATGGTCAATGATTTAATCATTGAAGTACTCTAATCATTGAAGCCTCCATCAAAACCCCAAGGAAAGGTTCAGAGAGCTTCCAGGTTGGTGACTCCACGGAGGTGCAGAAGTAGCTCACTGGAGAGGGCATGGGAGCTCCACACACTTTCCCCATATCTTCCCCTGTGAATCCATTACATGGGACTGTTACTGAGTTATTTTCTTTTATAATAGACCAATAATTTACAGTTTCCTGAGTTCTGTGAGCTGCTCTAGCAAATTGATCTAACCCAAGAGGGGTCTAGGGAACCTCTGATATATAGCCAGTCAGAGTAATAGGTAACAGCCTGGGCTTTTGACTGAGGTCTGAAGTGGGGTATGAAAGTGAGGAGGGTAGTCTTGTAGGACTGAACCCCTTAGCCTGTGGGATGTGATGCTATTTCCCGGTAGATGGTGCCAGAATTGAATTGAATTGTAAGACACCCAGCAGGTGTCCGAGAATTGCTTGGTGGTGGGGAACCCCACACACACATTGGCAAACAGAACAGTTAGGATCTAAATAAATTAACTGAAGTTCTGGAGGGAACCTGACAATGGACCTAAAATATAAATATTCTTTTCATTCAAAAAATAATTTTGGAATCTGCCAGATTGTCTACTCTATGCCAAGCTCTACAGATACTGAAAATTAAAAAGGACAAAATCCCTGTCTTTCAGGAACCTGTTTCTCATTGCTTCTGATAAGCAGAGTAGAGAAAAAATGAAGGGCAGGGGTGATATTAGAAGTGAGCAATGGACTCTCAGAAGCTAATGAGAAAAATGACACAAACCTAGTTTGAATTCCCCAAGAACAGAGAAAATATCCTTTCCAGTGTGCTTCTTTAAAATGAAAGTGAAAAATAAAAACCTTCGAAACATGAGATTTACTTGCCAGTTTACCAAATTATCTTATATGCGTTAATAACTTCTCCTGTTCCTTATTATCTGTTAACCAGTTCCTAAGACAACAAAATGTATGATAACCTGCAGAGAAGAAAATTACACTAAAACTGGAAAGTCAACCCCTTTAAGAAAAAAAATGTTTTCACTCATTTGGAATGCCAATACTCTTAATGCACAACTTCATTATTTATTATTAATAATAATAAATATATAGTTAAGAGCCTATACAATACACTAGGTACATTAGTCGGATAGCATTTATCATAAATATGAAGGTAGATGATTGAGATAGATGATAAATAGATATCAAATATAGAAAAAGAGAGTCTAGCAGCGGTTCTCAACCTGTGGGTTGTGAACAATGAAAATACATCCTGCATATCACATATTTACATTATGATTCACAACAGTAGCAAAATTACAGTTATGAAGTAGCAACAAAAATAATTTTATGGTTGGGGGTCACCAAAACATGAGGAACTGTATTAAAGGGTCGCGGCATTAGGAAGGTTGAGAACCACTGGATGGTATAGGGTAGAAATTTTCATAAATGTACGTTGATGATATAGTAAGTCAAGACCAACAATAAAAGCAATTGGTTCATAGTGCAAGCTAATATAACAAAATACTAAATTGTGTATGGTAGACTCTAAGTCAGGAACGGAAAATTCCCAGCTCAAGTGCCACCACCTGGCCCGGCCTCAGCCATGCACACATTCACAGCTGATCCCAGCTTTGTTCCCATTAGGTCCAAAAAGTGGCCTCAAAAATCCCTGGCAGAATCTCTCCAGCCATCATTATTAGGTGATTTCAGCTGGTATTCAAGAGGAGCTCTATTTGCCATCACTGCTATAATAGAGTGTATTAAAACAAACAAAAAACAGTGAGTGAACTAGCCTAGAATGGATGGCAATCCAGTCTTCCCACCTGTAAGTGAAGGCCCAGAGGCAGGAATGCTGAGAGTGGAGGGTAAATGTTGGGGGCTTAGCCATTCATACTGGGCCCACAGGACAGGAAGCAGGAGCTGGGAAAGCCATCAACATGCTAGACTTCAAACACCAGGTAAAGCAGTGAATTTATTCATTCCGCAATATTTATTGAGTGTGTGCTACCACCTGCAAAAGTCCCAATTTTTGCTCCTAAGAAGTTGTGAAGGGGGATGGTTGGGGAGATGTTGTAAAACTTGGCAAGGCACTTAATGTCCCTGGGTCTTAGTAAAATTGTGCCAGAATTGAATTGAATTGTGTTGGCTTCTTAAGACTGCTGCAATCAAGTACTACAAATTGGGTAGCTTAAAACAGCAGACATTCATTGTCTCATAGTTCTGAAGCCTACAAGTCGGAAATCAAGGCTTTAACGAGGCCATGCTCACCTCTGAAACCTGTAGAAGACTCCATCCTTGCCTCTTTCCAGCTTCTGGTGGTTTGCTGGTGATCTTTGGCATTCCTTGGCTTGCAGCAGCCTAAATCCAATCTCTGCCTTGGTTGTCACATGGAATTCCCTTGTGTGTCTCTGTCTTCATATGGACATTTTCTTATAATCTTATAAGGACACCATTCTTACTGCATTAGTAGTCCATCCTACTCTAGTGTGACACTATTTAACCAGTTACACCTGCAAAAATTCTATTTCCAAATAGGGTCACATTCACAGGTACTGAGGGTGTTAGGACTTCAATATATCTTTTGGGAAATACAATTAAATCTGTAACAGGATCTCACCTAGAAAACCTTTTATCTCCACTCCGGTGCACGAAATTCATGCACTGGGAGGAGTGGGGGTCCCTCAGCCCAGCCTGTGCCCTCTTGCAGTCCGGGAGCCCTCGGGGGATCTCTGACTGATGGCTTAGGAGCAGGTCTAAGCCGGCAATCGGACAGCCTTAGCACTGCTGCAGAGGCAGAGAGGCTCCCGCCACCACTGCTATGCTTTCCAGCCATGAGCCCGGCTTCACCAGTATGGCTGCTCTGCCCCATAGGAACTCCAGTTGGTCTACTTTCTTAAATTGTGACATTAACAGCCCAGTGTAACATCCTGAAACATGCAGGCTATGCTAGAACTAACCCTCCCTTGTTCAGAAACTGGGAGTATTTGCTCTCTTGTCACTCAGTCATACCTGTTTAACCACCAGGTCTTTTTCATGTATTTTGCCACTTAAAGTCTCTCTCATCCTGAACTCATGCAGTTTTCTGATCTTTCAGAGTATTGGGATAACATCAAAGAGAATAAAGGCCAACTACCAGTCAGAATGGAGAATCATCCAAAGTTCTCTCATCACTCCTCCACCTTAGAGACATGACCTACCAGCAGAACCGGCAGAAGAGAGAAAGTTTTGAGTCACAGTTTATGTGAGACCAAGAGAAAACTGAAGGCAAAAGGGGAGACTTGGCACTTGCTGAATTCTAAGAGAAAGTAACTGATAGGAAAAGTGAAGATGGTAGGAATTTTAGAATGAAGAACAAAGGTAAAAGATGGAGGGGGAGGGGGCAGAGAAAAGGGAGATGGCCTAAAGAAAGCCATGAGAATCCACCCACGAGTTTCTCTGCTAACATAGGAAAGGTCCTTGTGGGGACACTGCAAAGGTCTGGGAGGTGATGCCTCATGTTCCTGTACAGCCAGATAAGACAATGTAATTAGATCAATGGGGACACAAAACCCTCACTTCTGAATCCCTATAATCTGGGTTTATCAGCAGTAACTTTGAATAAATTATTACTTGGCCCTAACCAGTTTGGCTCAGTGGATAGAGTGTTGGCCTGCAAACCAAAGGGTCCCAGGTTCGATTCTGGTCAAGGGCACATATCTTGGTTGCAGGCTCCTCCCTGGCCTGCACCCTGGTAGAGGCTCATGCAGGAAACAACCAATCGATATGTTTTCTCTCACATCAACGTTTCTCTCTGTCTTTCCTTCTCCCTTCTACTCTCCCTAAAAATCAATGGAAAAATATCCTCGCGTGAGGATTTAAAAATAAATAAAATAAAAATATTTCTTTTAAAAAAAATTATTACTTGAACCTTCTTCAAGGTCCCATTTGTGAATCACCTTAGCAGATATGATGAACCAAGCAGTAGCAGGAAGGAGAAGAAAAGCCATCCCCCTAAGCCAGTGGTCGGCAAACTGTGGCTCGCGAGCCACATGCGGCTCTTTGGCCCCTTGAGTGTGGCTCTTCCACAAAATACCGACTTCTGCACATGGGCCACGAAGTTTCAATCGCACTGTATGTGCGCGCCCGCATGTGGTATTTTGTGAAAGAGCCACACTCAAGGGGCCAAAGAGCCACATGTGGCTCGAGAGCCGCAGTTTGCCAACCACTGCCCTAAGCCAAGCACCATCTCTGGTCCATTGTGAGCATGAGAGAT